CCGGCAGCGCACGTGGGGGAACTTTGTGCGTCTTACTTAACCCCTCAGAACTGTGGGCTATCTCACAAAACCCCCCTAAACTTTTACCTTATCTCATCTAGCCCTCCTATTTGAAATTTATAAATAACTAATTATTTCTTGAGGAGAAAAAACTCAAAATTTCTTTTACCTTATCTCACCTAACCCTCCTATTTGAAATTTATAAATAACTAATTATTTCTTGAGGAGAAAAAACTCAAAATTTTAGGAAGAGAGTATGGCAAGCGACGGAGTTTGAGATTTTTTTCACTCAAAGATATTTTAGTTATTTGTAGTTACATGTAGAGGGCTAGGTGAGATAAGATAAAGCTCAATGGAGGTTCTGTGAGACACCCCGAAGTTCAGGTGGGTTATGTGCAACAACCCCCAAAGCTCAGGGGGTTTGTGAAATTAACCCAAAAGAAAAACAGGCTTGATAAGTACGCATCCCAATTCCGCATGGAGATAAATTTTTTGGTAAATTAAAGACATGAGTACAATTTTCATAATATACTTTCCCTTGATATTATCTATAAAATAACTAGTTTTAATCCTTATATATATATATATATGAAAGCTTTTCCCCATGCCAAATCTTATTCCTCAATCAACATAATTCTCAGTATCTTAATTCATCCAATATGGAAACTTGTATTTGACAAATAGAACATATACTAAACTGAGCATCATACTTACGTATCAAAGCGTCATAATATAATTACAATTTTCCAATATCTACCTTTCATAAAACCAGCATTTCATCTTTCAACGGCACCAACATAGAGTCCACCATCAATTTGTAGTGTCACCATGCTTCTATAATTGACAGGTTTTGTTTCATCCCAGAGCCTGAAGTTAAGGAAGTACAACAGTGTAGCTGCAAAGATCTTCATCTGCCTGTAAGCAAATTCTTTTCCCAAACAGATTCGAGGTCCAGCCTGACAAACCAAGAATTATTCAAAGCTGAGTAATTTCAGAAATAAAATCATATTAATTTCATCAAATCTGATCAATTTTTGTCAGCAAACCTGAAAAGCAGTGAATTTAAAAGGACTTTCAGGCTCGAAATCTCCAAAGTCATTGAGCCATCTTTCAGGCCGGAAAACTTCTGCGTCCTCTCCCCATAAGAATTTCATTCTTCCCATTGCGTATGGTTGGTAACTTATCAGATCTCCTTTGTCAACATTGAGTCCATCTGGCAATGTGTCATCAGAGAGACAACACTTCACATCCTGCAAACGGTATCAAATATGAAACGAATATGATATTTACCATGTCAGTATCCATTTATTATTTGAAAAATGCATACAAATACAAATACGGTTCATTGAAAAATTTATATCCATATCCACCGAATATGAACATGTACATGCATCGGATGGAAGGAGAACAAATATGGATGCATATCAGATATTGGTAAGGCACAAAGTTTGACACAAGAGTTGTCTAGATAAGAATTTTGTTTTTTCTTCCAAAATTTAGATTATATCAATGTATTCAGCATGCTTAAGGACCTAGTACTATTAGATGTCTGGTTCACCAAAATCAATTTTGGGTCTATTAATTCAAAAACCAAACTAATTTCAACCATCTAATCGGCATAGATATCATATCAGGTATTTAACTTATGTTTGTATACATATGCATGTCCTACAAAACAAAACAAAAAAGAAAAGGGTTAACTGCACATAGAAAGTCTGTAGTTCATTTTCTTGAACTTACTACCCCTGTAGTTTCATTGTTGTGACAGACCCCTGGGTTAATTCCTTTGACCCTTTTAGCCTCAGATTGACTCACTAATTTCATCCAGGGGCAATGTCTGCCAACATTTCACCAAGGGTAAAAGATTCAAAAAATTATAACCAGGGGGTCTATCTGCGACAATGAAAGTACAAGGGTAGTAATTTCAAATGATGATATTAAAAAGGTTTATGTGCAATTAACCCGAAAGAAAATATATCTGACATGTGTACATGTATAATATATATCGGATACTAATAAAGATACACAAATATGTGCAGATACAGTATCCTTTTATCGAGCAATGTGCTGTCTCATAACTAGTTGCTTACCACCGGAACAGCAGGATAGAGTCTTAACGTCTCAGTCAATGCTGCGTGGAGATATTGCATTCTGTTGAGAGCTTCTTCAGTTAAAGTCACTGCAAATTCATCCACTTGAATCTTCCCATTTCTTTTTGTTACTTTTTTCACTTCTTCCGCTACCTTCTCTTGTACACTAGGATGCTTGCACATCATGTAAAAGAACCATGAGAGAGTTCCTGCTGTTGTATCTTTGCCTGCTATCACGAAATTGAGTATTATATCTCGAAGATATTTTAAGCTCATATTCTCAGGATCTTTCTCTCTTTCATTTAAAAATCTTGACAATATATCTTCTTTCTTCATCTACCTAAGTCAAGAACAGTGATTACTTTAGTATAATATCTGGAAAGAACTAATAGTACTGTACTTATAACTGACTTACGAAATTGTTCTGTTGTTTAGACATCTGCTCGATCTTCTTATTAATGAGGGTGTACACAAAATCATCGATAAATTTGATATCCTTCTTCATTTTAGCTTCCAGGCCAACGTTCAAGAATCTCTTCATCTTCCAGAGAACATCAACAAAACGCCGCAACAATTGGGCGCTTGAATCATCAAATGCCTGCGCAAATATCTTTCCGTCTTTGTTGGACCCGGATAATGTATCAAGTTCCACTCCAAACCCAACTTTGAATATTGAATCTAATGTCGATTTCATGAAAAGATCATTTATATCTATCATCTGTCCAGTTCTTGCAGATTCAAGGACTAGCATTGAAAGTCTGCTAGCATTGCTTTTGAATACGACACCACTGTAATCTCTCAAGACTTTTGCTGAAAACTCATAACTCGCAACCTTTCTCTGGTGTCGCCATTTATTGCCATCCACTGCGAAAATTCCATCTCCTAGCTGATCCTTCATGATATCGCGAACAAATTCTCCCTACATGTTTATGCACAATCATATCAGCATCTCTTCTATATTGAACTTCGTCAAATTTTTATGTGCAAATTTCACAAAACTACCTTGAACAATTAAGGGCTTTGCAGCAAATTATTCTGAACTATTTTTATTAGATGAAATCCCACAACTTTGAAATCAGCAAAAAAAACGGAAGAAGAAGAAGAAAAAAAAACCCTAATGCCATTAAATACCCTTCTTTATAATTTAATCTTCAGAAATTATTGAATCACAAGAGTCTAAATATAGCTAAAAATGTCCAGAATAGGTCATGCATCAATTACAAGAACTAATAGAAGGACTAAATCTCAGGAATCCATATGATTTTGGGGACCTAATAGTAATTTCAAATTATGGAAGATTTAAGGGACCAATATCCAGAAAATTCAAAAGATTATAAACACCGTGTCCTCCTCAGGGGAGGAAGATATGCACAACTTGTTGGCCTTCTTGTTTTGATGATGTTTAACAAACAATTTACTACTAATATTGTTTGTCTAGTATTTGTGTTTTCCTATGTATTGTAGACAAACAACGAGTTGGAGGATGGATGAATAGAGCTTCAACGAACATATCCAATGGAGGTTGGCGGAATTATGGAGTGAAGCAACATACAATTCAAGTTAAAGATCAAGTTCAAGCTTCATCCGCAAAGTGTATCAAGTTGAGCTACAATGAAGATCAAGATCAAGCTTGGATAATCTAGTTTAGATTTTATATTATGTGTGTTAAGTACCTTAAGCTTAATATCATATACACACACGTATTTGGTTTCTATGTATATATATATAGTTATATATATACATGCATGGTTTTGAGTTTTCATGCTTTGGACACACTTGCAAAATACATGACTTTTCACAAATAGAAATTCAATTTGAGAAATTATTTTTCTAACATGTTTGTTTTCATGTTTACAAACATTTCGCAAAGTTTCATCAAGTTTGGAATTGATTTGTTATGTTTAATGGAATTTACAAAATCATGTTTTTGTTCGTGCACATGTTCGTGCATGTTTTACAAAACAGATGATTTTTCATAAATGGGAAGTGGTATTCAAGAAATTTTTTCTTTTACATGTTTATCTACATGTTTAGAAACTTCTCTCAAAATTTTACTATTTTTGGAGTTGATTTACTGTGCCCAATTGATTTTACAAAATCGTGTATGTCAGCAGTTTTTTAGAAACTATAAATCTGTATTCAAACATTTATTTCTCTCAACTGGGAAGTTATTTTTAATAAATTCTTTATCTAACATGTTAATCTACATGTCTAGAACCTTCCCTCAAAATTTCATGATTTTTGGAATTGATTTACTATTTTTAATTGATTTTATAAAGTCAGATACGCAAATT